GGTGTTGTGTATACGGACTTAACAATAATAATATTTCTTTTTTTTGTCTGGAACAGACAGGATAATATATATATATATATAAATAGATCTATTTGATTAATGAAAACGGAGCGTATCAAACCAGTGTGCATCGATCACCAGTTATGCTGTCTTGAGTCCATTTCTTCTTCAACCGTTGAGTCTCATTTTGCAATCTTTTGTGGTGATAAAATCAAGTTATTTCCCTTGTCTTTTTTCACAGCTCGCCTCCGTGTAAGATTCTATTTTACGTTTTGTTTTCAAACGTCATTTATAACACGACTGTCCTACTTTCCTTTCATACATTTCTTACGTAAACGGAACCCTTTTGCCAGCAGATGTTTTTTCAATAGTAAATAAAATGTGTATGACATTTTATTAAAGAGGAAACTGATTCATAAATTACTCATCACAGCTCTTGAAGTCCTGCAGAATCTGCACTATAGTCGATGAACCCTTACTTTGTTACTTTAAACAAAAAGATACACGTGTAGGCAAACCAAAAGGAAATTTAAAAACCAACTGACGCAAACAGATCTTTACCATAACATCAAACCTGCTCAGACGGCCACCTCTCCAAGATAGCCACCAGTACAAGCGACCACTTCCAACCCCCCTCCCCTTTTGCATTTTAAAAATGATATTATAATGACACTGTAGGAGAGGATCACCTGTATGAAACGACCACTTTTCTCCTGGACAGTAGGTGGGACATTGAGTGGGCGTTTTGGATTTGTGTTTTTATATCCATTTCTTTTTTACACATCGATTGAGGTCCATTCTTGACAATAAACGAACTTTATGGCTCGATGGGAGCTCCTTCAAAAATGATTTACTACAGCATTATCATAATCTACGCCTTTCTCATCATGAGGCAGGGTATAGTCCATGAACAAATACATTCCATCTATTCCTATCCTGGACTAGCCTCAAGATATTATTACATGCCTTCACTTTTTTTACTTTACATCATTCCTTGGGACCCTTTTTATCTCTATAAAACAGGGAGATAAAAGCAAAACAAAATGTGTCACGGCGCGTTGGAGTCAGGCGCTTGTCAAATTTGGGGCATATTGAGTTAATGACATAATCTTAGAGCCTGTATAGTTGCCTTGCTTTGATTTTAAAAAAATTAAAAGATGCCCATTTTAAAAAATGAATGTTGAGGAAGTTGCAATTGAAGATGTCAGGGGTAGAAATAGCAAGAAATGGTCCCCCAAAGTCTTGTGACTTCTAAACCTCTAGAATTCTTAATAACAAGCAAATTTACATTTTGTGTGTTTTTGATCAACATTATCCAGTAAAATCTACTAATGAATATGCTTTTTAATGGAGATAAAAGGTATGTAACCCCCCCCTAAGGAAAAAAATAAAGATAAAATTATTGAACCAAATTTTCGCCGTGGGAGAAAATAATGTCGGGTTCTTCAATTTCATTATTTTGACGATCTCCTGATTTCACCACAATGCCACATAAATCTCTTTGACAACTCCCCAGGACCTCCAAGACCGAACGCAAGATGCGTTTGAGACAACTCCTCCTTCCGATCCTCTTGTGTCTGAGCGCAGCAAGCGCACACGACCCCAGATGTTGTGCACAAATAGATGAATGTGAAACAAACGGTATGCCAATGTTTTTGTTGTTGTTGTTGTTGTTGTTGTTGTTGATGATGATGTTATTGTTGTTGTGGTTGTTGTTGTTGTTGTTGTTGTTGTTGTTGTTGTTGTTGTTGTTGTTGTTGTGGTTGTTGTTGTTGTTGTTTTGTCATTGTTTAAAAAAATTAAAACAGCACATTAACAATGTTGTTGCTGCTGCTGTTGTTGTTATTGTTGTTGTTATTGTTGCTGCTGCTGCTGTTGTTTTCGTAGTTGTTGATATTGCTGTTGTTGATGATGTTGTTGATATTGTTTTGTTGCTGCTGTCGATATCGTTGACGTTGTTGTTGCTGTTGTTTTATTGTTCATGGCTAAAACAGCACCTTAACATACATTCTACTAGCTAACTTACCAAATACCTCTCTTCACAAGTTACAACGTTTTCAAAATCATGCTGCTAGGCTTGTACTAAAGAAAAAGAAGAGGGACCACATTACTCCCATGTTAAGAACGTTGCATTGGCTTCATGTGTCAGCTAGAATGTCATATAAAATTGCAATATTATGTCATAAATGTGTCAATAAGAAAGCTCCCTCATATCTTAGTGATCTCATCCAGATTTATGTTCCATCTAGATCACTAAAATCAGGCGATCAGTATCTTTTAAGAGTTCCTAGAAAAGGGGGTAATCATTAGCTGAAAGATCGTTCGCCCACCTTGCTCCGTCAGTTTGGAACTCTCTTCCCCAACCCTTGAGACACACAACATTTGAGTCTAAATTTTAAAAAATCTTTAAAGACACATTTAATGACATCCTTTTTATGTCAGTAGATTCATGTTCAATACAATGTTATGTAAATGACTATGTATCCATTTACGTATTTTGTGAATTGCAGTGTATATATTATTTTATGCTCATTTCGTGACGATGTATAAGCGTGTGCGTGTGATAAGCAAGTAGATGTGTGTGTGTGTGTGTGTGTGTGTGTGTGTGTGTGTGTGTGTTTGTGTGTGAGTGTGTGTGTGTGTGAGTGTGTGTGTGTGTGTGTATGTGTGTGTGTGTGTGTGTTTGGCATACATGTGTGTGTGTCTTTGGCATACATGTGTGTGCACATGTGTGCATGTTATGTGTTCGAGAGCAGGGGCGGCTCATGGGTCTAAAAAGTGGGTGTGCACAATTAAGCTATCTGAGACTGAAGATAATCAAGCGCAGAGTAAATGGGATGGTGTATAATTTTAGGCTCTTTGGGTTGGTGAAGGAAGACCTTGTGATTTTATTTTCATTCTTTTTACTTGTGGCTTTGACTTCTAGAACTAAATCTGTTTGTTAGCTAAACGTCAATTTCATTCATCCTGCATTAGACTAATTAGAACTGAACACTCAAGTAATACTTTTCACCACTCCACTACAAAAGCATTCAAAAGCACAACTGATAGGACGGCGACTAAAGTATGTCACGTTCACCTCTCTCAGGTTCACGGTCACAGAGTCACTTAAAATAGCGACAAAACAATGAACCAATCACAATTCACTTGAGCACCCCGCTGGATTGCTCCGGGGCTCACATAATTTTGGCATGGAATAGTGCACAGTCTATGGCGTTTATTTTTAGATTGCCTACTGTGGGCTATATGTTTCGGCGCTATTCGGCAGGAGCACATCTGAGATGTGTCGTCTTATTAATATTAATGTACCGCCAAACTCTCTACAAGTGTCGTCATCGCTTGGGTTATCCCAAAGAGTGATTTATAGGTCATGTTTCCACTGTTGACTATCCTGTTTTGTTTAGATACGCGCATGAACTTAGGCATGACATAGTAGATGTTTTACGGCGCTATAGAATAGAAATGACAGTTACGGCGCCAGTGACGGCCTTGTTTTGATATAATATTTGGCTAGTGTTTGTTTTTGGCGTCTTTTATTTTTATTATTGTGTGTGCTTTACGTCATAGAACATTAAAACATTTTGGGCGGCACTGCACGACCGTGCTCTATGGACGAACCGCGCCAGTTCGTGAGTGTGTATGCGTGTGTTTGTGTGTGTGTGTGTGTGTATATATGTGTGTGTGTGTTTGTGTGTGTAAGAGTGTGTGTTTTTGTGTATGTGTGTGTGTGTGTGTGTGTGTGTGTGTGTGTGTGTGTGTGTGTGTGTGTGTCGCGTGCATGAATATTGTTCGTACATGCATTTATGTAAAGCGTCTAGAGCTGTGTTTACACGGGAGTGGGCGCTATATAAATGATCTTCATTATTTATATTATTATTTTTAACTCTTGTAACGACCATCTGTATAGGACAAGCACACTGTACAAATGGCCACTTCCCATTGTGTATTTTATTACATATAATAATGACACTGTGTAAGAGTAGAAAAGTACTTGTCTTAGACAGGTGAACGTCTTGAACAGCATCATCATACTATTATTTTTTAAACCGGTGAAATGGTAAAGGATTAACGGCCTTATCAACACTATAAGGTGTTTTAAGGGACAGGACCTCCGAGTCCATCGTCTATCTCCGAAAGGACACAGCCAAATGGGAGATTCGTGTAAAATGCCTCTGTCAAGGACCCAACGTCGGATCAAGCTGAGGCCCGAACTTCCCATCCAACAATCACACAATTACGAGCTCAATAGCCTATTTAAAAAGAAACTGCAAAGAGGGAAGTATGATTGTCTTGTATAGGCGACCGATAGAACACGTTCGACTGTAAATAGCCAGCTGGTGCCTCAGTAGGTACAGTGGAACCTGCTTTAACGACCACCTGTCTAAGACCATCAAAAACGACTTCCTCACTCCCCCCACCCTGCGTTTTTGAAATATAAAATGACACTGTCCAACACATCCACCTGTCTAAGACAACCACACTTCTCCTCAACATCATCTGGCCATCTTGGACAATTCTGACAGTTAACTATTAAAGTAGTTGTGACTGGCCACCCAGAAGCCATGATAAGCTGGAACTTTTGGTTCCAGGAAGTTTGTATTCTGATTATAATGCTACAATAACATGATACAATATCAAATGTTTCACGAGGGTGGTTGGTGGATGGTTTGGTGTGGATTGTCTCCTTTGATCCCATTAAAAATCGATCGTTCTTATCTCTTTTCCTTCTTTTCTTTGAATGTTGCTTTCTGGTAACACCTCTAATCTGCGGCTTTCATGTGATCTACGAGGGGCATACCAAAAGATTTTAACCTGACCATGAAGGAATAAAGGTAGAAACCTGAAATTTGGTACTAACTTTAATCTTGCTCTATGTAATCGCCTCCCACAGTTATACAAACTGTTATCATCGGTGTAAACCCTTGAAAAGACCTTGAGAATAGAAGACACTCTCTTTGTCAGAAAACCAGCCCTCTACCGCTTCTTTGAGCCCATCATAACGTTCAAACTGCCTTCCTGTTGAATCATTTGTCAGTTTTGGGAATAAAAAAAGTCGGACGGGGCTAAATCTGGTTAATAGGGTGGGTGTGGCAAAATTCCAAAGCCACTTTCTCGCGCAGTTTCTACAGCTTTTCTTGAAGAGTGTGCGGGCGCGTTGTCGTGAAGCAGCACGGATTTTTTCTCGGGGTTTTTCTTTTATAGCCTCTCGTAATTTTCAAAGCTGGTTAAAATAATGGTCTCCGGTGATCGTATGTCTATTTTCAAGATAGTCTTTCATAATCACTCCTTCTTGGTTCCCCCCGAAAACCTGATAGCATTACTTTTCCACTTGATGGCTGCACCTTTGCCTTCTTTGGTGTTGGAGACGAGGGCTATTTCCTCTGCATTGATTCGGGTTTTGGCTCAGGATCGTAGTGATGAACCCATGTCTGCTCAAGATCGTAGTGGTGAACCCATGTCTGCTCAAGATCGTAGTGGTGGACTCATGTCCCATCCATGGTTACAAGTCTTTCAGAAAATTTAGTTTAATCTTTTTCATACAGACCAAGCAATTCTTGACAACAATCCACTGGTTGCACTTTTTGAGGAGGAGTCGACAAACGAGGAACCCATCTCGTAGAAACTTTGGTCATATTCAAATGTTGATTTACGATTCGTTCAACTGATCCAATGCTAAACTAGTTTCTTTGCTCAAACGTTCGTCTATCACCCGCCTCTTGAACAATACAATTTTGTGACTTCTAACACTTTCTACTCTGTTGTTGCTGTCACTGGGCGACCATCATGGTGGTCATCTTCAATGCCCATGAATCCACATTTGATTTTTTTTTATACTTAACTTTTATCACCGGATAGGATGGGCAATCGGTTCCATATACAGCATGGATCTCCGTAAAATTGTCCTGTAGTTGTTTGCCTTGCAAGAATAAAAACTTCATCACTGCCCTGAGCTCAATTTTCTCCATTTTTATGTTGAAACTGGAGAACAACATACTCTCATTCACTAACAGGGCTCTGGTGTTAAAACTAAAATTCTGAAGTTCCCCAATATTCATATGTATTCTAGAAAGATGATTGTTGGCTTTCACCCCAAAATTCAGCTTTCTACCTTTGTTCCTTCTTGGTCAGAAAAAAAACAACTTTTGGTAAGCTCCTCTTATTTGTGCAGCAAGTGCCGTAAAACTCTTACTATGTAGAACAAAAAATAAATGTGTCATCGCTGTGACACCAGGCACTTGTCAAAATAATGAAACCAAAGAAACTGAGTTTTCCACCAGTTGTTAATTTCTACTGATTTTTAATGTTGTACACGTTTTATTCCGTTTAAAAATCACATTTTTGCTGGAAGTTTTACTGAAAAACGTTAAATTTGCAGTTTCTGTGGACGCTCAAATTTTAAAATTCATCAAACATTGGCGGTCATATTCTCGCTAATTTTACCGCTGACACTAGGTGATCCGCCACCTCCTTCAACCGCAAGAATAATAATTATCTGGACTTCTAAGACAGGTGTACATGACTTCATCTAAAGCGAAATCGGTGAACACTTTTAAATAATATGATACAAATAACTTTTCATGTCCAAAAATTGACAAGCGTCTAATCCCGCATTTCAACATGTCGCGTCACAATTGTTAACGCGTTCATCAGCCTATGCCTGGTTGTTGGAAGTTATGTTTTTATAATTTTAAAAATACATTTGTATTCCCATATAGGGCAGTACGTTATTGTCTGAGTCGTCTGCGGGAACTACTACTACTACTACTACTACTACTACTACTACTACTACTACTGCTGCTGCTGCTGCTGCTGCTGCTGCTGTTGCTGCCTCTACGATTGCTAATTATAATAATAATTAAGAGGAAACAATAACTGGTAATTGTCTTTTATTACCCTCTATCATACAGAAGCGAATGATGAATGCGTTTGCGGATCACTGAAAAGCAGCCTTAGCTGCCGATTGTTCGTCGTTAAGTCCGGAGTTCAAAGAGCCACACGAGCAATCGTCGACACTTTGAGGTCTAGACTGGACTTGAACCAGATCGTTCGGGCAAAACCTGTGGCGTTTTACTCTCACAGCATCCACAAGAGGCAAGCCTCCTTCTCAGCTCAGGCGTCGTGTTGCGATGGGAGTAACATTATAGCCACAACTCTTGGTTGCGTTATTGTTGGTAAGTGAAGTCGTCGTCACCGTTTTCTTCAAAACCCACATGCTCCCCCCTCCTTCCCTCATTATCCACCTGCTCCCGTTCCTGTTCCACCTCCTCCTCCTCTTCCTCCTCCTCCTCTTCCTCCTCCTTACTTTTCAACAACCACAACAACAACAACAACTACTACAACTACTACTACTATTACTAACAATAATAATAATAATAATATTAATAATAATAATAATAATAATAATAATAATAATAATAATAATAATAATAATAATAATAATTGCTTTTATATCGTGCATATCCACAGTCTACAGCTTTTTCTATGCACTTTACAATTATATTTACCATAGCAGATTCTAAAACACTCGGAAACATTCTTGTTTTCCTGGGAAGCATTTAGAGCAAGCTGCATGCAAATTACACGCTCTAAAATAAAGCATTAACAAACTGACAAGATCTTTCACGGTCTGTAGCCGGAAGGTCAATCTTACCTCGGTAAAATAAGGAAAGTTGGTATAATGTGGTTTTCTCAAGGACATCATATCAGGCCTCGAACCCCCTTACATATCACTTATGTTTGAGAGACTTTGAGTATAATACACATGTAATATTATATATTACAGACACTTGGACATTAGATATTAGTTTAGAACATACTTTTATTTATTATATTCTCTTTGGTCGGACGCTTTTGCACTTTTAGAAATGAAACCCAGCTCCTTGTTTGCAATTTTATGAAAGACTAAAAATTAAAGGAAGGTCAAGTAGCAACTTCCATACTATTTAACTTTCTAAATAAGTGCGTCAACATTTTGAATGAGCTCTTCTGGTCATGAAGTTGAGGGGGGGGGAGGGGGGGGCTGTAAAATGAACACTTTTATAATGTGGGAGTCTTTACTCTCCCATTTACACACTCAACTTAGGTTTCGATCATGTCCATGAGTGGCTATTCAGGCGATACAACTTCCCAGCAGAAAGAGACCGAGATACTCGATAAAAATACTCATCACAAGGTAATCAAACTCACCGGGAGTTCAGGGCTCGACGAGAAGCGCCTAACGACTACACTACAAAGCCATGTAGAAGAATCGTCTTCCAGATTTATAATATGTCCCGTATTACTTAAAAACTGAGCCAGTAATAGAACTCGTACATTTTCTCCCCTCATAGCCACTTAATTCGGAGACAATTTATTCAAGATTCTCTTCTTTTGTTCGTAAATGATAAAGATGACGGTGTTATTCTGCTGCTGCTGCTGCTGCTGATGATATTAATAATAATAATAATAATAATAATAATAATAATAATAATAATAATAATAATAACAATAATGAATACCATTTGTATAGCGCAAATTCCCATTTCAACAGCATGCTCTATGCGCTTTGTTTTCATATCTTTATAATCATCCGCCCACTTGATAGTTCGACTCCCCAGAGGAATCATCCAGCGTAAGCTGCCATTTTACAGGCGCTAAAACACCACATACTCTCTATGGCCGGGTACTCATTCATGTCTGGGTGCAGTGAGGGAAATCCAACGAAGGTCCAAGCTGAGCCTTGAACCTCAAAACTGCAACCTCATGAATATAAATCCATTAGCTTAACCACTAGATTACAGATGCCACATGGTATAACCTCACGTATTCCTTCCTTTGACCATTCCCCCATGTTTGGTTTGACGTCATAGAAGCCAACATTCTGTCTTTGCCATTGGCACTTCGCTAACAAATAGTGTATATCGTCTAGTGAACAACGCTTTCAGCGGACTGCTAACACAACTCTTTTTTTATATTTTTTAAATTTTTTTTTATTTTTTATACTAATGATAGATTTCACCTGGCTTTTTGAGCAGAGCTCAATGTGTGTATACGACGTTAAACAATACATAGATAGGTCTATGCGTGTAATATTCAGCTGATTGATTCAGATAGTTTAGTATGTAATATCTTCAATTCAGTTTATTGTAATATAGAAAGATCGTAACAAGTAACACCCATACAGAGCAAAGCCTCTCCGAACTACGCTCAACTCTGTGCCATAATATAATTACCCAGATGACAGTATAGCAAATCAGCATTGATTTCCTCGAGCCAACGGTGCAATCTCTCATTTTATTTATGAATAAACACCTAACATATAATTGTGGACAGGACAGTCACTGAGTAGTCTGAAATGAAAACATTTGTACAAAGGGTTGTTCCTAATTAATATACAATGTCTGTCCCGAACAGGGATTCGAACAAACAATTTCATGGTTTCGAGTACTAAAGCCTAACCAGAAGGCTGACAAAGCAGTGCTGCAAGTGTCAAGAATAAGGCAATTGCTCCGTTGTTTGTGTGGTCAGAAAGCAAAGACGAAGAAAACAATTGCTTTATTCATTCAATAATTAGTAGACACTATAAACCCCCAGATAACCTAACCCTTTTGTCAACGTCTCTTTCTTTTTTAGCCGGTGAGTGCAAATGTCCTGCATCAGCTCAGGCGAGCCTTCCTGAATGCTCCGCCGCAGCACCTACAACAGCACCACCAACAGCAGCACCTACAACAGCAGCACCAACGGCAGCACCTACAACGGCAGCACCTACAACAGCAGCACCAACAGTGCCACCTACAACAGCGCCACCTACAACAGCACCAACAGCAGCACCTACAACAGCAGCACCCACAACAACAGCACCTACAACAGCAGCACCTACAACAGCAGCACCTACAACAGCAGCACCCACAACAGCAGCACCTACAACAGCAGCACCTACAACAGCAGCACCAACAGCAGCACCACCAGCAGCTACAACAACAGCTTCAAGTCGCAAAGGTTCCACATTTATCGGAAAGACATCGTGCTGTGATCCATCCCAAAATTTCAGAGATTACGCAACGGGCATGGCCTACTGTTCTTTGGAAGGTAAGTGGCCACGCTGGTATTCCTCAGGGGGTTTGTACACGTTCAGCATCCCTTTACCTTTCTTTCTTCCCCCTCTCCCTCTCTCTGTCTCGTTCTATCTCCTATCCTTCCCCCTCTCACCCCCACTTTCTTTCTCTCACATGATATATTTTGTTCAATAACATCATCTAATAACGTAGTTTATTGGTGAAGTTAAACTTGGAATACATAATATACAACTTCAATAAATAGAAGAAAAAGTCTTTTTTTTTCATTCATACAAGAGCAGGCCTCTTGGTTAACTAAACTAAACAGCAAAACCCGAGTTAACATCTCTTGCTTTGAAATGGATGCTTTTCCTGTTATCAGATACAATTCCATTTCTAAGAATCCTTATTGAGGAGGTAAATGTCACATCAAAGCAGTTTAGGCTGCTCTATTGTAAATCAAATCTCTGTGCATGACAACGTTAGGAAAACAGTATACTCAGCATTACTCATTCAAAATATTTGTGAGAACAATTAAATTGTTTCGTCAAAAGTTGGGGATATAATTATTTACCTTTTTCAGATATGACCAAACCCTTGATTTCCCCCCCCCCCCCCCCCCCCCCCTTTCAGAGTACGGTATTATGGTTTTTGTGAGTCTCTAGGCTGGTGTTTCAGAGTCTAAGCTTTGTGCTTTTAAGATAAGTGAAGACATAATTAAAATGAGAAGTTTCAACTGTATACAGAACTAGGTAAAATAAGTATTCATATCCTGTGACTATCCTCGCCCCCAATAAAACACCAAAAAAGATAAATAAATAAATCACGCTGACCACGGAAGTTGCGCACTAAATCGAGGCCTTCGAAAGGGCAAGAAACGGACGCGGAGAGAAGAAGAAGGCGGGTACATGTATTGCAATCTATTTTTACAGAGAAGTCAGTGCTGTTCTTTTTTCTCAACTCTGTCTCGTCTGCGAATGCGCGTTCAGGTGGAGACTGTGTGTGCCAGAACGTCCCTGAAGCAAGCGAGTGTCTTCAGCCTCCGATACCAGACGGCTACGTAAGCTCGCTCTCAAGCTGTTGTGACCCAACGCCCCCTACTCTGGACCAGCTTATCGCCAAACTCCAAGGCCAGTGTATCATTCAAGGTTTGTTTGATCGTTTGCTGCTTGGTTGAGTTAAAATATCTCAGGTTTGGAGCCCCAGCGTTTTTTAAAAAGGTGTTAGATGCTTGGGGTCTTTTCATGTTTCTTCCTTTCTAACACAGGCGTTGAACTCAGAGATCAGCTTGTCTCTTTCATAACTTTTCCGGTTTGATAGTCTTCAATTTATGAAAATATAGTAATCTCCTAATTAGCAGATTTCGAAGGCTCTCCATCCCTTTGGTAGCCTTTTCATAATAAGCTTTTAAAACTGAAAAAAGGGACCAAACCTACAAGTGGAGACGAAAGCATACAAAGAAATTATACACCAAACCAAAACCAAGCGACAACAACAACAACAACAACAACAACAACAACAACAACAACAACAACAACAACAACAAGGCCACTAAAAAATGACATCAAATATCACGTTTCAGTCATTCAAACTGTTTTTACAGCTTTCACCAAGCGCTGCGTGTGCCGTAGCTTTGTACAGTCAACGTGCGGCCTGCCCGCCACAACAGGTGCCCCTACGACTCCGGGTAGCACGACACCCACAACTACAACTACACCTGCGACCACCACACCTGAGCCCACCACAACGCCTGTCCCCACATTCTACCAAACTGTGCCGGCGTGCTGTGACCCGACCAATACACCTGACTATTTCATCGCGAGGACTCTGGGATGTGTGCTTAATGATGGTGAGGGAGAGACTGAAGTTGGGAGGGGGAGGGAGGTGGGAAGAGAGA